GCTCTGGAAATTTAATTTTCCCCTTAAGAATGCAAACGTCTTTGCTGGGGACCCGTTATTTCATTAAGCCTCTATTAAATATTAACTTAATTATGTTAAGCTAAAGAAACATTTCGTTAATTGCTTTTCCTGTGATACATCGTGTTAGAGTAGCATCCAAGAACAGTGTAAACTTTAATCACATTCTCCATCGTCTACTTTGGCAGTTTTAAAATTGCTCAAAATTTATGCTTTTCGTGACGTAAGAAGACATAATAAATGTTTAACGTCGGCTTTGGAGGAGAAACTTATTTTTCACCTTACAAAAATATGTACGTTACCTAAAAGGTTCATTTCTTCGTCTAAAATGCAATGTAATTACTTCGACGGGTTATAAGAGGTAAAGAGCACCTATTACAAAGATAATTAACCTTTAATAACAAGATATTTTACTAATGTTCTTGAACCTTATTAAAATATCTTAAGTAACTAGAATAGGTTTAGGAAACGTAAATATGTAGCTTGGTTAGAAATTGTTAAATGCACTAGACTAATAATATAAGATAAAATATATTTAAAAGTTCTGATCTAAACATTTTGCTTTGATTCTCATAAATTTACGTATTAGTACTGTTAAAAACAAGAGCACATACTGAAAAAAATAAAAAAAAATAAGCTTATAATGTATTTCTCCCGCTTTCCTAGCGCGCCTTCGAATATAATAGTCAATAATATAATAGACAATAATAATTCATGTCGATTAAAATATTTGTATCTCTACTTCCTGTGCAGACTATCAAGAGTAAAAAATATTAAACCTAGTAGTTAAAATAAAGCACTTTTGTAACTTCAAACTTACAAGGCTCTATTTAGAGGATTGAATTTTTAAAGTTGTATTCAAACAGTAATATAATATTTTAGTTCTTTTATGATCAAAAATGAAAAACTGAAATAAATAACGTGGCTTTCCCGAGATAAGTGAGATAGTTCCATAATGTTCAAATTTTTAACATTTTTACGATCAAAATTGGTTTAAAATGATATTTTAAACTATTAATTTTTAAGATATTGGATTGAAATTTGAGTTTATGGATGAAATTTTCAAACCCTGTTTTCATTTTAATTTATGATGATTAAAAACAGTGAGTAAAAGTCTAATTTATAAACCTGGCAGAAGTTAAAAACAAGAAATGAGATTTTAAAATTTTATTCATTTGATCTGCAAACTATTTTCCTCTCAATTTAAGAGAAAATGATCTAAACGCAATTTCTTTTAAAAAAAACCTCTCAAAAAGTAAAATAATCCTAATTTTAACTTGTAAATAATTGACATAAATATTTTTAACTGATGGCTGCAGATTATTAACCATGCCGCCTTTCCGCATCTTTTTCTACCCTTATTGTTTTGGAAATAGTTTGGTTTATTTTATTTAATTATAGCCAAGCACAAGACAGCTATCTGCCTGAGAAGAGGGATATCTTCACGGAGGGCATTCTAAGGGAAACTGGCTCGAATCCATGTTACACAAAGAGAAAACCACGGAAACGCCCATTCAAATATTTGGATTCAAATGGCTATTCAAATGGACTCGAAATCCTGAGCCATCTACCAGTGTTCAGTGACTTTACCGCTCAGCCGTTGGTGAGCCCCGTGTTTAGAAAAATGTGCCTACATGATTTGTTTTTAGTGTAATGTATTCTAATTATTTAGAAATAATTCTTTAATTAAGATTTAATTTTATGATAATTGAGTTTTAGGATAATTGTGAGAATACATTTTCTTATGAATAAATAAAGGGAAATTTGCTTGAAATCCTTTTGTTTAATCTGGAGATGTAGTCTTTACTAATCATATAGTATATGTAAGCTGAAGAACACGTAATAAAATTCTAGCTTTTATTTGTAATGGCTACTTAAGTCTCCTTTTTTATTTGATTATTTTTCCTTTCTATCCTGTTAATAGTAACATATTTCGGAACTACACCATTTTAAAATTAATTCCTTCCCATATGATTATTCCTATATAACGCTAATTATATCTTATATGATGATTCCTATATAACGCTAATGACGCATGGACTTGCACAACAAAAAATAGTCTTCTATACGAAATAGATGTTAAATTTTGAAAACCAAAATCTGAATTAATTAAAAGAAATAAATTCGAATTATAACTTCATTCAAATTTGTATTGTAATTTAGGCACTTCTGGGCTTTTTCTGCCACCTAATCAGCCATTCTTCAGCTTTTCTTTCATACTTCAGATGTGTTATAGGAGTGTGGAAATATTATCACTGAGGAGCGGGAGCGTATTTTGCAACAATTGATTTCTGTATTTTAGGTGCAGGAATGTGTTGAAAAAGAAAAACGAAGTGTTGAACCTGCTAGGGCAGAAATAATATTCTTGGGTACCACCAACACAACCTTTTCAAGCCGTTTGCATCAGTTTGTTCGCCATCGTAGGCGCTATCATCTCGAAATTTTTTATTACAAATATGTATACATATATTAAAAATTACGAAATGTCGACAAATATACGCAAGTAACTCAGGAATTTTAATTAGCAGCATAAGCAGAATTTTAGTGTTTTTCATTTGAAATTTTCAAATGCAATTTTAGCAGTCTTAGCTGTCTCGCACTTGGCTTTGCAAAAATGTTAATAATTATGTATTTTTCAAACATAAATGAACGAACGTTTTAGCACTCACCTAATATATCTATGAGAATGCTATTAACTAACGGAATGAACAAAGTTTTTGAATGTATAAGGTATTTCTCCCACCTTCCTAGCGTGCTTTTGTGGTGTAGTGGTTCTGCATGCTGGGCCGGTATTCCAGAGATCCGTGGTTCGATTCCCGGCGAAGGCTTTGCTAATTTTTCATATCTCCAGCTTCTCCAGTTAACCTAATGTCTCTACAGGTAAAGGCAAAGGTATGGGGGACACCAGCGATGTACTATAGGTTAACTGGTAATGCCTTCCCATACTAACTCTTTGAAAAAAAAAAAAAAAAAAAGGAAAAAGAAAAGGGAGGTGAATTGTAATTTTTATAAGAATTTGCATAGACTGAAGCTTTCTAAAAGGTCTAGAGTTTGCCTATTATGGTACATCGTGCAATCCCACAGTACGCCCCGCATCCAGTATTTATTAAAGTAATAATGTAGGGCATAAGTAGATGAAAAAATAGTCGGAATACAATTTGAGATTCACAAGATAAATTGAACATCTGATTTGGTGCAACAAAAGTAGGAGATATACATAATTAATAAACAGATAAACATAATGAGATAATTATAATTAGTATTGGCAACACAATGTTAAAATGAATTGTAATAATAATGATAAAGAGGTGGGTGTTCGTGGGCTATTTCAGATATATTGGTTTATTGCAGTTATTGTAAAGCGGAGCGATTTTATCCATAATCACAGCATTTAAAGTTCACTAAGTTTAAACAGTATGTGGACTTACACTTGAGAGACATCTAGGCCATAGGAAGGGAGTCGTTGCATAATTTTCTGAAACTTTGTATACTGGTGTTTATCTTTCATTAAAAACCTTTGGAATGCCAGGAGGTCAGTTCTTGGGGATTTTATGTGAATATCCTCAGTTCCTACTGTCTCTACAGTGACCCCCGAACTAAAAAAAAAAAGTTTGGATGAGGTTTCTCCACACCCAGGATTTGGCGATTGTGTCCCCTTAAAACCCCAGTCGTCCTTTAAAAGGGGGAGTATATAAGGTATTTATCCCACCTTCCTAGCGTGCCTTTGTGGTGTAATGGTTCTGCACGCTAGGCCGGTATTCCAGAGGACCTTGGTTCGATTCCCGGCGAAGGCGTTGCTAATTTTTCATCTCTCCGGCTTCTCCAATTAACCTAATGTCTCTACAAATGTCTAAGATATAACTTAGAATTCTAAGCGTTTCTCAATTTGTTGCTCACAGACTACATGTGACTGTCGAAGCCTACCGTTTTGTCCTGTAGGTTTCTAAAGGATACACTTTAAATTAACTGCTTATATCACATTAGACTTGAAAATTTCAGAGTTTGGAAATTATACATGGCAAATGTCTATCACGTTTCTCTAAATACTGGTATTTTACTAAATTACTACTTTTTATTCTATTTACAGACTTCCCACTCTAATCTCAACAACAAAATGAGATTTGAAACAATAACACGGTGGTACTTCCCGACATCCTTTCACTGCATATCTGGCGCCGCAGACCTCATTAAAATGAAATTGGAATATAATGAACTCTAGAGTTGTGATATATATATATTATAATTCAGTTTGCTTCCAATTATCTGTTTGAGAAAGAATATTCATCATTGATTCAAATATAAATTAAGTACTGAAATTAAATTGATGATCTGCGTCTCAGATTTAAGCTTATCAGGTTACATCATATTTCCTACTTTGAATTTGAAAAATAATTTATTTTGCAACTAAAAATGTAGGTATTGATCTCATCCAGTCCCAGTGAAATGATGCTGAGTACCTATAATCGATTGTATGTGACGAGGATGTAGCGAATGACATTTCCTTAAATAAATACAAATATTTCTTTAAAAGCTTTCATCGGGCTCCTATTCATTCAATAAAGCCATTTTAATTCGATTTCCCTTCTCAATAAACTCCACAATTGCGAGAAATACGGTATTTTATTCTAATAGTAGCGCAAAATAAATATGCCCCCAAATGCAAGCACAATGAAGGCTTGAATGATTGAAATCAGAAAGATTTCTTTATCAAAACTCTGAAATTACGGGAATTGAAAAAGATGACAAACGCCACTAAACGACAATGAATTCTCTTGAATGTGACGGTATTTATCGCCTCTTCTGAAACTTTAGAAATTCTATCGGCGAAATTTCTGAGAAGAAAAAGCGAATTTCGACGCCATTCCATCGATGAATAGGTTCGTTTGCAGCAAAAGAAGGAAGCTTAAGTGGTATGTGTATGGACGTTTATACATATATACATGAACGAAAAATAATAATAAAGATTTTTTGTACGCACTTACGAGGAGCTTGATAGAGGTTGGTTGTTGGCAAGGAGGAAAGGGGTAGTCGCTTGATTTGCGAATACTGTTCCTCGTATTCCGGCTGAAAAAGATGAAAATGGAACAAATTATTCTGAAAGCTCGTTACAAGCCTTTCATGAACAATAATTGTAAAAATTGCATGCACTACAAAGCTGTAAGGATGTAGATATTTTTATGTGAGACGCGGAAAAAGAATTGATTATAAATAGCAACTAGCAAATATTTCACCGACAAAGCGTTCATTCAGAATGCAAATTTCTCATTTAATCCGGCGTTTATAAGGACTGTCCTTATACGTTAAAAAACCGTTCACATTACTTTCATGGCAAACATTTCGTAACGCAGAAATAATAATAATAATGAAAATTATTGTATTTGTATATATTTATTTTTATAATTCAAGAATCGAATTTTGTTTTATTTAATATTCTCTCTATTATAATCTTTGCTTTTCAAGAAACACAAAATGTAATTGCACAAAGAAAACTTTTGATATAAAATAAATAACAAAAAATTATTCACATGATGATATTAAATAATGGATGTTTAGTTCTTTATTTCCCTGGAAACTATTTGAAGAGAAAATTTTAAGAAAGTAAAATTATAAAAAAAAAATTAGCCGCTTGCGTGGTCATTCACGTAAAATAGTTATTAGAAAAAGAAAAATTTGGATTTTTTTAGATATGGATCCCACATATATATATCTTTACAAGTAGTATAATAAACTTATGTGGCAAAATGGATAGCCGTACATTTCAGAATACAATGTGCTCAGCACGAATAATCTTCGAGATTACACATCGTTATAACTATGTACGAGGATTTTTATTTAAATCAGACAAGGATATCTAAATTTACTAAAGTGCTAAATTACTAAGCTAATATATTAAAGTGCATATAAAGAATATCAAAAGATTGGGGGGGATTTTAATAGCTAATGACATTTTACTTCTCATCGTAGAGTTTAACATATATTATCAACACCCTCGGTGATCCACTTTCCTCATGCAATAATTGCATTTCTTCAATTCTCGTTAATTATATTATGGTCATATGACACACAAACACACGATAATCGATTTCATTCCAAACGTCACATATCATGTTCGACTTGTATTCATGCTGTTTCTCGAACTGTACGGCAGTGATGATAGTTAAAAGCTGATTTTAATGAACTTCCAAATAAAGGAGTCACATGATGTAGAAGTCTGGAACCGAGTTCTTTTCAAAAAAAAAGGTTATATTAAATGCGCAGCATGTCAGTTCGAGCGCTGCGAAGTGATATATTAGAGAAGTATTAGCCGGGTATAGTGATTAGGAAAGCCTACTGGGGTACCAAAGGGCCCGGGCTTGAATCCCGGGCAAGGTATGGTTGTAACTGTCCTTCTCTTTGACACAACGGTGCCACCTATTAGGACCAAGGACCAAGGTGATGGCTTCCAGAGTACCTTTGCTGAAAACAGCAATAACATACACAACTTCGTTAAGAAATAATGAATAATTAAGAGTAGAGCATGGCTAAAATGAAGAACAAGAACCGTAAAGGGTTTAAAGGGTTCATGAGATCGATAAGAATTCCACACAAAGGGACGAAAACTTCTTTCAATTGCTGCCTTGTGAGGGCAGGGGTCAATGCCTTCCGCTACGACAATTAAGCTTTGAAAGAGGTGTTGAGTAAGGCGATACCTGCACGCGCCAGCGTAAATGGTAACAAAACCTATTAGGGGCCTCCAAAATAAAGTGGCCACTGCTTCTGGTTTTAGGACTGGACAATCTTGAATGGGCAATTGTCCATCATTAGATTCACAAAACAAATTAGAGAAGCATTAACATAGATGGAAGGGATGAGAAAATACGAATGTTTCCATACCAAGGTTTCCATGCAGTCTTAAAATGTGATATTCATAATTGGTCTCCATTTGGGCTTTAAATCATTTTCCAAAATTTTTGGACTCGGTTACAGTTCATTCAGGCAAGAAGATTTTATACACTATTTCGCACCATGTCACACAAAGCGTGTCAATTTCTAAAAACATAACACTGATGAACCTTTAAAAAAATGTATATTTAGACTGCACTATAATCACGAATCTGAACACCTCAAACAGAGTGCACAGAATATCTTGCTCTGTTGTGATACAGTCTTGGAAACTGGCCCACCGGTATATATAGGAAGCGAGCTGCTAACAGCGCAGAATATTATCAGCAGAAACATGAATATTATCAGCTGCTGACAATAACGCTTGTACATATTCAATTCCAGAAACAACAATAATTAACTTTTAAAACATTAACCAATTTTTTATATGCCCTGTTTTCTTTCACTTTATTGTTTCCGTTCCATGATAATGAAAGTTTTAGGAATACTTAACTGTTTGAAATGAATTTTGGCTTAAAAATTATATCATGTATATATATATAGATGTATCACTGTACAGTTAAATGAATATGCATACAACAGTAAAGATAATTCTTAATCAGATCTGTTATTTCAAAAGTTCTTGATTTTGGTTTTCTAACAAAAGATGAATGCACGTGTCGGACTAACAGGGAAGAAGAATTGTTGATTGTGTATGCTCATCCATTTCCAACGCGTATAAATAAAATATTTTAATGCTTGTATACCCTTTAAAACAGTTTTTCTACCAATAATAATATATTTCTTATTATCACTTGAAACGAAAACATTACTTAGGTTTATTACAAAAGAATATTGCTTCAGTAATTTTATTCTTTAAAATATGTCTTAACAATTTTCTTGAGACAAACCAGATAAAAATGGATTCAATAACAAGAGGATTTGTATCTTCTCGCGTGAAAGATTGCACAAAGCTTTTGATACATTATGGGAAAAGAAATATGTTGTAACCTAACGAACAAAAACATTGTTCACCCGAATAAAAATATATATATTCATATCTGCTATTAACGAGAATGTTCAAATAAGTCATTAGGTAAATTTAGGGCTATTAATTACTATTATTTTTATGAATTCAGTAACATGCATCAGAAAATAAAAAACACTAGTTGTCGAATTACGCACGTTTCATTTTATTAATATTATATAGGAATTAATAACAATATAAATATAAAAATATGAAATAAGAATGTAGAAAAGTACGCACATATATGGAATAAATAGTAGAGCGGATGTAAAGGGAAAAAAAAAAGAAAACGATATTTATTGCACATACATTTGCAATTTTTTATGTTATTTTCAACTGACCTCGAGGGATCGGTTGATTAAGTTAGAATAATTCGAGGAAATAAGTTTAAATGAAGTGCATAAAAGAATGAGTGTTATATGTAACAGGAAGTCACGTGGTTCCCACAAGAGATTTCGCTATAGAATATTTGTGATAGAGAATACAATAAAAAATAAAAGTAATATAAATTGCTGAAATATCTAAGTTTCCAGAGTAATATAAATTACCGAAATATTTAAGTTTCTAAAGTAATATACATTGCTGAAATATTCACGTTTCCAGTTAGAATTTGTTGCTATTATAAATTTGCTGATAACTTACGGAGAATATCAGCGTATCTACGAAGAATACTAAGAGAACCTGATTATCCTATAGACTAGTTTTATCATAAATACTGAATTTTCATAGCTTTCCTTAGAAAACATATAAACTTCAATGGAGTCTGAATAGCTAATTAAATTTAAATAAATTGTTGTCACTGTGAAGATAACGCTTATAAATTCAATCTCGCATTTGTTTAATACTGAATACCATAATTTGAACTACTTAACGTTATCTTACTCGCTTCTTGTAAAATATAAATGAATGTTAAAAAGATTAACTTTAAATTAAAACTAACTAAAATTAAATGAATTTAATAATTGATAAAAGTAACTAATATTTAGTTATATACCGATTGTAAGCAAATATGACAGTTATTTGATTTTGCGCGATAAAATTGAACATACGGAAAGATCCAGATTTGGTGTACAAATTTGTACATCAAGAGTTGAAGACAAACTGTTTCACGGATTTAACAGCTTTCTATTCTAATCATTTAAATGGAAGCTGACCGTTTATGCTGTGATAAAGTCACTCTCTATGCAAACATATGAGACAAATAGGAGCGATCGAAGCTGAACCTCGGTCTGAGATTGATTACCCAATAGGCTGTTCTATTGTTGATTTGAATTACATTGTTAGTGTTTGCTTTAGTAGCTTCATGACAATTAATTGAAATTTCTGCTAACTCATATTTAGTAATGTAGCATCCTCGCAATAAAAAGTGTTTATGAATCTCGAAAATACCTCATCGGAGTATATTCATTAAGATTTTAAGTACGAAAGTATAATTGGGACTTACGTGATCCATATATATGTTAGTTTTATGTGACGTATATAAAGCATTTGTATGTAATATTGCAAAGCTTGCGATATTAAATACAATGCACGCTTACAAGTTATAAGTGTGAATAATATGATATCATTCAAAGCAGTTATAAAACTTTTATACGCAGATTGAATGTAATAATATTTGAAACTCTTGAATATACAGGGTGAATGTGAACAAGAGGGCAAAACTTTAAGGGGTAATAGAACGCAGCTATACGAGCAATATTCTTCATAGAATGTATTTTTGGAACGCAAACGGCGAGCCGCTAGGTGGCATTGCAAAAAAAGGGTCGGTCCTCTCACCCAACGGCATTTTCTACCGTGGATTGCCTAGAGCAGCGGTTCCCAACCGCTGTTCCGCGGCACACCAGTGTGCTGTCTGAAGCACCGTGGTGTGCCGCCGGGTCTGGGTGTCACGGTGCTGTTCGCCCGCTATAACTCCTCCCGTCACTCCCCCCGCCAGTGTCATAGGTGGTCACGGCGCTGTGCAGTGCTATAACTCCTCCCCCTGCCAATCTTGACAAGTGTCCGCCGTGTCCCCGCCCCCATGAGACGCAGGCAGACGCCTCACACAGTGTCAGCAAAGAATCTCTAAGGAGAAGAATGAAAGCTTCCATAGACGCAATGTAAACCTGTTTCGCCTCTGCGCCGCTGTACCAAAGAGCCACGGCTATGCAGTGAAACACCAGCGCAGGGTGAAATT